GATATTAATCTTTCTGATGGGAAGTCTAAAAAGTTATGCAAATCTACATTTATTGATATGGAATCATACCTATATTTTTAAGTGAAAACCATATATGTAAGCTTCTTGAGGGAGAATTAAAGAATGCTTTCTTATATACATACTTATATATACATATGTATACTAAAGAAAACTGGAATACTAGACACCAAAATTTTAATAATGATTATTTTTCATTGGTAATTTTACAGAGGAGTTTTCTATCTTACACCTTTGTATATAGACTGAATTTTTATCCTATTACTTTTATTAGTTTTAATTTTTAATGAAAAAAACATGCATTTTGCTAAAAATTTAGTCCATTTAATGTTGTACATTGTAAAGTTAAGTCTCTTTTCATCCTATTCCCTCTAGTCTCCCATTTTCTTTGTCCAAGGCTGTCCCTGTTACCAATTTATGTGCCCCTCCAGGGATATTCTGTTGATTCAAACTTTTTTTAAAAAACACAAATGGTAGCAGAGCATACAGGGGTTTTTTAGTCATTTTACAACCCATGAGTATTCATAGAGCTGCCCCATTGTTTTGAAGCAAAAATAAATATCATACATATTTTTTATGCATATACACAGGTATATCATTGAGATAAATTCCTAGAAGCACAATTACTAAATCAGAAGGGAGGTACATTTAACTAATACTTATAGTACATGACTGTTAAATATAAGGAAAAATTCTGTATCCAATCCATCAGCAAGTACTATTGATCCTGTCTTTAAAATATATTCAGAATCTAACTACTACTTACTGTCTTCAGTTCTACCCCCTCTGGTTCAAGCCACCTTCTCACATCGGGATTATACTTCAGTAGCCTTTGTCAACTGTTGCCCCTCACACATATTAATCCTTTCAAAATATAAATGCCATCTCTCTACTCCAAACCCTTTAAGAGCAAAAGCCAAAGCCTTCATAATGTCTTAACAAGTCATGATCAGCAGGCCCATCTTTCTCAGCAATCTCTCTGGTTTTCAGCAATGACTCTTGCTACTTGTTCACTCCACTGGTTGTCCTTTGGCCTCCTGTGTATGCCAAGCATGCTTCCACTTTTGCTGTCGTCGTTTCCTGGGCCTGAAATACCACGATTCATTCCCTCAGTTCCTTCAGGTCTTTCTCAATTATCTCCTTGTTGGAAACCACCCTGTTTTTTAAATAATAATCTCCCACCCTCTCCAAAACTTGTATTCCTTTTTCCCTGCATTGTTTATACTACTCCATTGCACTTAACTACCATCTAATGTTTTGTGCTGTCCAGCTACTAGCCACTTGTGGCTGTTGACCACTTGAAATGTTAAGTCTGATCAAGGAAATAAATTTGTAATTATTTTTAACTTTAAATCTAAAAACTAATACTCAGGTCAGTTCCTGAAAAAGTGTTAAGTGTATTTGAACAACTTGGTATGTGAATCTACTTTTTCAACTGTAAATTTTATGAAATCTGAATTTAGATTAAGTATTTCCAATGAAAATTTAGCATCCAAATTGAGATGTGCTGTAAGTGTAAAATACACACTGGATTGCAGAGACTTAGTAAGACAAAGAAATGTAATCTCAGTAGTTTCTTATATGGGTCATATGTTCAAACAGTAATACTTTGGATATATTTGGCTCAAAACGTATTAAATAATTTTCACCTGTTATCTTTTTAATTGTGGTTACTATAAAATTTTATATGTAGCTCATGTTATATTTCTGTTGGACAGTGTTGCTTTATATACTAATGTAGTTGTTTATTGTGTATCTCTGTATATAGAGTGTGAGTTCCATGTGGACAGGAGTTTAGTCTGTTCTGATCCATATCTAATCTGTAGCTATCCAATAAATTTTATAGAATAAATTGGGATGAATTTCCCTTTTAAAAAAAAAACTATGAATGAATATTACGAGAAAACAATTTACATGCATGTCCTCGGACCTAAACAGTTACTAATACATATAGAATACTTACAAATAAATAAAATCCAATTTAAAAAGGGCAAAAGATATGAATTTGCACAAGTAGAAACTCAGATAGTTAATAAATATGAGAACAGAATTTCATCTTCATTCAGATTTTCAGTAAATCCAAACTAGAATATCATTCCTGTGCCTATGAAGTTTAACAAAAATAAAAGGAAAGTTAAAAATACCTCTCTGGAAGACAGTATTGTAGTCTGTATAAACAACTTTATATTATAAATATTCTTTGACTTAGTTTTCTCATATCTAGGAATTTATTTTTAAGCATGTAATCACAGATGTATAAAAAGATTTTTCTAAAATTTCATTGCAACTTTTTAAAACAAAAACTGAAATCAAACATATAGCATTCAGGTTGCTAGAGTAATCCAAACAGAGAGGGGTTGAGGATTGTGGCTTTAATAGGAAAATATTTTAAAATTCTGTGTTGGCTGAAAGGAAAAGAAATCAACAGAGACAAGAGGGAAGGGGGGGCGGGGAAAAGGAAGGGAAGGGGAAAGTCAAGGAACATATAGCAAGGACTCATAGACAAAACCAAAGGGGAAGAGCTGAGGGAAGGAAGGAGGGAGGGGGCAAGGGAAAGTGGTGGGTGGTAGGCAAAGACAAATGTATTTGAAAAAATAAAATAAAATTTAAAAAAATTAAATAAAATTCTGTGTTGGTCAAAAACTCTTCATATAAACCAATTTTTTATTTTCAGTTAATGTGTTATAAATTATAGATTGTGTGCTTACTAAATAAAATTATTAAAAGTATCTATAACCTTTCTGAAGTGTTTCATTATTTTTTAAGTATATTTTGTTGATTGTTATTATAATTGTCCCATTTTTTTTCTCCCCTATTTCCCCCTCTGCCCTGCACTGTCCTCCCTCTAGCATTTCCGCCTTAGTTCATGTCCATAGGTCATATAAGTTCTTTGGCTTCTCGATTTCCTATACTATTCTTAACTTCCCCTATTTTGCACCTACAAGTTATGTTTCTTAATCCCTGTATCTTTTCCCCCATTTTCCCCCCTCCTTCTCCCTGTGATCTCCATTTCTGTGATTCTGTCCCTGCTCTAGTTGTGTGCTTAGTCTGTTTTTGTGTTCTTAGGTTCAGTTGTTGATAGTTGTTTGTTGTCATTTTACTGTTCATAGTTTTGATCTTCTTTTTCTTAGACTCTTAAGTCCCTTTACCATTTCATATAATAAAGACTTGGTGATTATGGATTCCTTTAACTACCTTATCTGGGAAGCACTTTATCTGCCCTTCTAAATGATAGCTTTGCTGGATAGAGTCATCTTGAATGTAGGTCTTTGCTTTTCATGACTTTGAATACTTCTTTCCAGCCCCTTTTTGCCTGTAAGGTTTCTTTTGAGAAATGAGCTGATAATCTTATGGGAACTCCTTTGTAGATAACTGTCTTCTTTTCTCTTGCTGCTTTTAAAATCCTCTCTTAATCTTTAATCTTTAATTACGATGTGTCTTGATGTGTTCCTCATTGACCCCAACTTGTTTAGGACTCCCTGAGGTTCCTGGACTTGCATGTCTATTTCCTTGGCTAGATTGGGGAAGTTTTCCTTCATTATTTTTTCAAATAAGTTTTCAATTTCTTGTTCTTTCTCTTCTCCTTCTGGCACCCCTGTGATTTGGATGTTGGACCATTTAAAGCTGTCTCAGAGGTTCCTAAGCCTCTCATTTCTTTGAGTTCTTGTTTCTTCATTCTGTTCCAGTTGAATGTTGATTTCTTTCTTCTGTTCCAAATTGTTGATTTGAGTCCTGGTTTCCTTCTCTTCACTGTTGGTTCCCTGTGTATTTTGCTTTATTTCACTTTGTATAGCTTTCACTTCTTCCTTTATTTTGCATCTGTATTCAATCATTTCTGTGAGCATCCTGATGACCAGTGTTTTGAACACTGCATCTAATAGGTTGGCTTTCTCCTCATCACTTAGTTCTTTTTCTGGAGCTTTGATCTGTTCTTTCATTTGGGCCATATTCTTTGTCTTGCACACCTGTTACATTGTAAGGGGCGGAGCTTTTGTGTTCAGCAGGGTGAGGCAACCCACTTCACTGTGTTGTGGCCCTGTATATGGGGGAAGGGCCAGAGAGGGAACAATGCTGCTTGCTCCGCTCTCAGTGGGCTTTCAGTCACTTCCCCTGCTACCCACAAGCAGATTGTGCGCTTCTGGTGCTGATTCCCAGGTGGGTGGGCTTGTGTATGTTCTAGGATCCTGTGGGCCCCTCCATTAGACTCTTCTGTGAGGCTGGGAGTTTCTCCCACTGCTGCAACCCCTATAGATTTTTACAGCCGGAGGTTTTGAGGCTTTATTTCCCTATGCTGGAACCCTGGGTTGCAAGGTCTGTCTTACTCCCCAGTTGTTCCTCCTGGTTTATCTGCACGTGAACGTGGGACTGCCTCGTCCAGCAGTCACCATCTCAACCTGCCTGGTCTGCCAGCCCCTGCCTTGCTGTACATCCTCTCCACCCCGGCTGCCCATCTCCACCCCTCCTACTAGTCTAAATGAATGTTTCTTCTTTAACTCCTTGGTTGTCAGACTTCCATACAGTTCTACTTACTGTCAGTTCTGGTTATTTTTTGTTATTGGTTATAACAAATTGATTGTTATCCTTCTTTTGGTTGTGCAAGGAAGCAAAGCCTACCAACTTAGACCTCCATCTTGGCTGGAAGCAGAAGTATTTATTTAAATTCATATTACGTATTTAGCGATTATGTCTTATTTATTATTGAATTTTTAAACATTACCATTTATTCCTCTTCCACCCTCTTCCACCAAGCTATTATGTCTTATAACCTTGTTTTTTGATGGATTTGAGGCTTAAACTGAAAAAGTGATTTCAAAATTTTAGAACCAGAAAGTAATGACAGATTTATAGTTTTCATTTATAATATATTAACCGTAGGTCGTAACATCTCAACTTCCTCCACAATAAAAATGGGAAACTATTTTGTGGAAATAATTTTATATAAATGTGTATTTAATGCTTGTTTCATTTTTCTTACCTTTCAGAATTATCATGAAATCATGACCCATCATCCTGAGAATTATCAGTGGGAAAACTGGAGTCTAGAAAATGTTGCCACCATTTTAGCTCACCGGTTCCCCAATAGTTATATTTGGGTGATAAAGTGTTCCCGAATGCATTTGCACAAATTCAGCTGCTATGACAATTTTGTAAAAAGTAATATGTTTGGTGCTCCAGAACATAATACTGACTTTGGAGCTTTTAAGCACCTTTACACGTTATTAGTTAATGCATTTAACTTAAGTCAGGACAGTTTGCTATCAAAGAAGAATGTGAAAGATATGAATGAGGACTCCAAAGCATCTAATTGTAGAGCCAGTTCCTCTCATACTACTACTAATGGTTGCCAGGGAGAAAAAGAGAGCCCCTGTGAAAACTTTGAGTCTGCCATGAGTTTTTATCCACCATCACTAAATGGTGCTTCTTTTACTTTGATTGGATTCAGTAAAGGTTGTGTTGTTTTGAATCAGTTGCTTTTTGAACTGAAAGAAGCTAAGAAAGACAAGAACATAGATGCTTTTATCAACAGCATAAGAACAATGTACTGGCTGGATGGTGGTCATTCTGGAGGAAGCAATACTTGGATTACTTACCCAGAAGTCTTGAAAGAATTTGCACAAACAGGGATTATTGTTCACACCCATGTAACACCTTACCAAGTACGTGATCCAATGAGATCCTGGATTGGAAAGGAGCACAAAAAATTTGTTCAGATACTTGGAGATTTTGGTATGCAGGTGACTAGCCAAATACATTTTGCAAAGGAAGCTCCTTCCATAGAGAATCACTTCAGGGTTCATGAAGTATTTTGAGACTATAAGAGTATTAATGTATTTGTTTAAAGAGAAGAAGCACTTTGAGTTTTATAAATTCAGATAATGACATGTAATTCATAGATAATGTATCCATTTTGGGTGGAAGGGAACATACATTCCTAAAATATAAATGTAATGTGCAATAGTATTTCTTGCTTCTCTGAATGTGAACCGTTTTTAATTTGGACTGGGTTAGAATTAGTTCACTTGAAATCTAAAAGGTGGTTTGATAATCCTATGAGGAGATATAAGACCCTTAATAATGAAAGTTACAATACAGTCCTTGTAAAAGGTAATTAAAGTTAGTTTGAAAGTTTATTTTCTGAGTAATGTCTAATTTTCGTGGTATTTTAACAGTAATTACCAATTTTGGCATTGAAAACTCTTAAGTAGAAACACTCCATTTCTCTTCAAAGGCACACAGATATTTTCCATCGTTTTGGAATAACTGTACCCTGCCTTTATGTTTTGTCAACTCATGGAGTCATTCTTTAGTGTGCCACGAAGTGTTTTTTCTCAAGTCAAAATATATTTGTTTCCAAATACCCAAGAACATGCAGTAGTGTAAAGTTGGTTTTTAAAAACATTACACTTAAGCACTATGGCTAAATTTTTAATTGACGACTTTTGGCTAAGACATTTTGGAGTTTCTTAATCTTGGCCAAAAACCAGTTCTTTTGGGAAAATTGTTTTAAAATGAACATAATTATGTAAATTGGATAAAAATATATTACAGATTGAAAATTTTTTCATATCAGTCTTTTGAGATCATTTTAGGTAAAATAAATATATAATATTCTATTTGTTAGTGCTCTGTTGACAAGGGGACAGATTCTATAGATCTAAGTCAGTGTTTTCTCCAGAAGCATGATTTTTGTCTGCCAAAAGAAAGCAGCTCTCTTTGGCTGGAATACAAAAATTATATTGCTATAAGAAAAGTTACAAGGGAAAGTTTGAAGACATATTTTAATTTTGGCTCAAAAACTGAATTTGCTTAACAGTGCTACATAATTTGGGTGAGGTTTCCTTCTGCCTGTTTTTCTTGACCTAGATAAATACTTTTTGAGAAACCAAGATTTAGTTAATGTCAACCAACACTGAAACATAGCTGTGTGGTTAAAGTAAAAGGTGAGTGGTCACTTTTTTATTGTTTAATTGTAATTAGCTTTTTCAGGGCATGAAATAAAGCAGGGAAGAAGTAACATGCTGCTTTCAGACTGAAAAAAATAAAGACTGAAGCTTAGTATCTTAATAACCCAGAGGACCTAAATTTACAAAACCATGTAGAATGAAAACGTTGTTTTTCCCCCCAGAATATTTAATGTCTCTATAAATGTATTCCAAATATTGGGACTTAAGATTCTTAGCAAATGCTTAAAAGTAACATTCTTTAATTCTAAAAATTAGAGTAGTAGTTCTCAATTTTTTAAGACAAAGTAGTTTTATAGTGCTTCAGTTTATTTAAATTCCTGTTCGACACCAAAAATTTGCAACGAGTCAGCCTGATTCCAGTATTTTATTAAAGTATCATAATTTGCTTCTTTCAATGTTTCATTATCCTTGGTTAAATTCATGTGTATCTGATGTAAAATAGCTAAGTTACTGAATGCTCTAATGAGGAGGGAAGGAAAGACATTTATTTTTATACAACTGATTAAATGAAAAATTTAATTTCAGCAGGATTCATTAAAAAAAAAAGGTATTTAAAATCTGGGTTCTGTAGCTATCCAGTCATGTGAATGCTTAATTGTTGTATGTTGAATAGATATTAAAAATAAGTCACTGGACACCTGGAACTACCATCGCATTTAAATGAGACAGTGTTGGAGAGTATTTCTTGAATTAAAATGTTCGTTTATCCATATTCAAATATTTTAATCCTTCAAATTTGTTGTTTCTCCACTTTTGTTTAGAACTATTATGAATGTTCGTGTATTCTTTTGAATTGTGCCTTTGTGTCTGTGTCAAGTCAACTGAGAAAAGTCATACAAATAATGTGAAAGTTACTGCCACAGCATGAATGTACGATTGTATTAAATTTAATCCACAGAAGTCTGTTTGGATGTGCTTTATGTTACTCTATTTGTTAAAACTTCAGATGATTATTTGGAAAGAAGCTATTTTCTCTCCACTTGCTAGTTTGGATTTGTACGTGTTTTTATTAACCCCATTTTTTTTTTCAAATGAGTGACTTTAAACCTTATAAAAATCTCTCTTTATATTGCGCCACAAAAATTTGCATTATTTTAATTTCTTTGGTTGGATTTCCTAAAGAACAAAAATCTCTCAAAAAATTAGTTCTTCCTTTTCTGGGTTAATTATCTCAGGTACCTGTATCCCTTTAGCTCTCCCTAAAAGACTTGGTTAGACTACAGTATTTTTTTTTTTAATATATTTCATTTGTGTAGTATCCAAGCGGACAAGGAAAGTCTAAGCTCTAAGGATATAGTACAGATAAACATGTGAGAATAGGAACATATAAGACTTAAGAGATAAAATAGTCTTCTTAAAAGAGCTATTGTGTTATACTTTAAGGGCCTTTAAGAAAAACGTGCTTTAGAAGATAAAGTAGATACACCTCATCTGTAAATTAAGATTGCTTTTTACAAAGGCCGAGAAACCTATTAGCTCTAGGATGGTCCTTTTACTATCTCATTTACTAGAGCTTTAAAAAATAGAATACAACTTAGGTGTATTTAAGACATTCAAACACTTCGTAGCCTGTATGCTTGAAATGAGAGTTTAAGGTAACACCAGAGATAAGTGGGCGACTGCCAATCTATGTTAGTTCCTCCTGACTACATCTGTCTTTTAGCACTGAGAGAAGGGAGTCACAGCAGTACAGTTCCAACTCCATCCAGACCTGCATTCCAGCCTCCTGTTTGGGGTTTTTTTTTTTTGTTTTTTTTTTTGTCAACTTCTTAACTTCAGCTTAGGTATCTGTTGGAAACTTTAGATAGGTGAGAGAAAAGCCTTATTACTAAAGTTCTTTCCAAATGTTCACATAGCTAGCTGCAATTCCAAAAGAACAGAAAGATACAAAATAAGCCTGGTTGACTTTTTTTCCTTTGTTTTGATCCATGGAAGTAAAAAATTACTGAATAAATAGGTAGAATTCCAGTGTAACTTATGTACCAAGACAAATACTGTTAATGTTCATGAAAAGCTAATAATTACAACCTACACACATACTTTAAAAATGTATAAGGGCCAAAAACAAATTCAATTACACAATTGCAGATTCCAATCTTCCATTCACTTGTCTAACCTCAAAGGCAGTTATTAATACTGGTTTCTTGTGTATCTTTGCAGAGATAATTCTGTGTACATACAAATATATAGGGGTGAGCGGAAGGTTTATAGTTGTTAGTACATGAGTTTATTGTTTATTATTGTATTATTTGTATTGCAACTGTAAACCTACTTTTGCTCATCCCTGTACAGTGTATCTTTGTTTTACATAAATAGCAGCATACCATACCCTAGTTTAGACCTATTTGCTACCTTGGAAAAATTCCTTGCTAGTATATGTATGTGTGTACACACACACACCCCTGCCTCATTCTTTGGCTGCATAGTATTCCATTTTATTATTACACTGTTGTCTACCTGTCCATCATCATTAGTCTTAGTTTGTATCCCTTGTCTATGTAGCAAGCAGTATAATGAGAAGTTTTCTGGCAGAGGAAACCTACTCCTTCGTGGGTCAGGTCAAGCCCCCAAGTTGTAGCCAAAGAATATATAATATATTCGTAAGTATCTGAGATGAACTGCACTTAAGGGAGAAAGAATGTAGAATTACTAATCTGGCAACAACCATAGTCACCCAAGTGTGTGAGCCTGGACAGTCATTTAAGCAATCTGGATTGATTAGATGACTTCTAAAATCCCTTTCAGCAGTAAAATTCTAAGATTTGGAATTCCTGAGAAGTCAGTACTACATGTACTATGATATTTTGTGTATTTAAACATTTCATTTGTTCTCAACCAGGTAGGCAAAAAAAGACAAAAATAAACACCAACATTAAAAATTATGACCAGGGAAATAATTTTAAAACTTCCCGAAGTATTCATCTCAAGCTTTCTAGATACAATTTACCTAAAATTTCTCAGCAAGAGAATATAATGGAAGCTTGCACCAATTATATGCCTACCTTTAAATTACTTGTATTTTTGTAGCAACCCTGTAAGTGTAAGTTCAATTTTAAAGATGAGGAAAGTAAGTTTCATAGATTGCTTAACTTGCCTAAGGTCATTCATTTTGCTTCCTAAATAAAACTGAATTGTAATACTCATCGAACAAATTACAATCTCAGTTTTACTTCCATGTTTTCTATGTGGCTCTGGGTGTATACTTTGCACTGATTCTCTCTTACTGGTTAAAAAAGAAAAATACGCAAAATGAAGATTTATTAAAAAGCTGGCTATAAATATTGTTCAAATAACAGGGTTTTTTTCCCCCTTCCAAAGGAAAAAGAATCTTTAAAAAAGTTCTGTGCTTAACCAAGTAACCACGTATCAGAATCTAATTAGATCTAATAGAACAATTCCTTTTCTGACTCTTAACTTTTGTTGACCTGAGTAATTTAAGTATCTCTTCTCAAAGACTCCTAGGAAGTTCAGAGCAATTTTTATATACTTTTCCTTTACTATTTATTGTAATTTTCTTTTCATACCTGAAATTAATCCAACTACAAACAGTATATGAACCAGGAGGGAATGGCCTGAAACATTCAAAGGGATGAAAAGCAAAGACCTACAAGACTACTTTACCCAGCAAGGCTATCATCTAAAATTGAACGAGAAATAAAAAGCTTCCCTGACAAAAAGCTAAGGGAGTGTGTTACCACCAAACCAATTATTAGAAGCCCATTCCTCTCACCCCAACTTCTGGCAACCACCAATGTGTTCTCTGTATCTATAAATTTGTATAGTACAAAGAGTGAACCCTAATGTAAACTATTGACCTTTAGTTAATAAAAAATAAACACAGGATATGACTGGCTGAATTATTTTCAATAGAGGAAATTATTTTCTCTGTAATTAAAATGCACCATATCTGTATACTCAGATTGCTCTAGATAGGCACATTTGTGTCAGTAAATCCATTTTGTCTTTAATGACAGTGCAAATAGTTACTAGATCCAAAACAAAGAATGGCACAGATCTACATACAATGGCTCATTGTCTTCAATGACAACATTGTTGGGACATCTCATGTATTCCTAAAAACTTTTTAAAAAATATCAGAGGTGGAAAAGTATTTAGTGAGGAAAACTTTAATTAGGTAAAAGTTTAGCCTTAGGTATAAATTAAAAGTGATCTGAATATTTTCTGACATTTAGAAACCAAAAGGGGAGAGGCTTGACTTATACTGGGTGCCAAGAAAAACAAGGATCAGATTACAAACATTTGGGTGAATCACAAAACTGGTAATCCAAATTAGCATCATCTAATCCAATTGTTCTCAATCCCGAGTATGAATTAAAATGACCTATAAGGTCTATCAAGTAGATATCCACGTCTATAAAGCTGGAATCTAAACATCTATTTTTAGAAACTCATAAGATTAATGCAGTAGACATGGTTGGCTGCCCACCTTCTTTCCTTACCAGAATCCTCCTGATGTAAACAATCATCCATTCTGCCCACATGTGCCCCCGAGGAAGAAAATTCTACTTCCAGACTGGCTCAAGAGTCATTTCATACTCTTTTCCACTGACTGGATCAAGGATGGAGAGGTCTAAGCCACTTTTACATAAGTGAGACCCAAAGATTTGGTGACAAATTTTGGGAAATCTTTCTTATATTGAGAGGGCCCATGGAATCCAGCCTGACTGCGCCACAACATGTAAATGAAGGTGCACATGGCCTGAACTACTATTGGCAATCATTCCATGAAGGTAGCCAGTGTTAGGATGGTGCCAATGCTGCAGTTGAAAATAGGAGGAAAAAACCCCAGAGGTTCTTAATGACACTACTGATCACTGGATGAGAAACACTGAAGCCCAATGTCAGTAGATTTCATGTATAGTGAGTCAATACATTTTGTCATTTTAAGTTAAATTTTTAGTTATTTGTATCTGAAAGCTGAAGATTGGTCCCAGTACAGCATTCTCTGAACCAGAATGAACTGTGTTAAGTAGCAACCACAGGAACACCCCTTTGTACTTAATCTGCAAATTTGAAATTGAGTTATTGTTCTTCTTTTAACAAAGAGTTATCTGACATTTTTCTAATATTTGAGCTGAATTGTACTGAAAAGTTTATATTTTTTTGCATTCACTTCATTATTTACTCCAAGTTTTTGCTATAGGCTTTGTCTTGAATGTGTAAGACCATTCGCCGTGCATAGAAGTCCCTGTATTCCTCTGGTAATTCAGCCAGTGTTTTTAAGGCTCTGTCCAAAATTTGTGCAGCTCTTGATGCTGCTGTAGGATCTTTGTTTCCATAGGTATCGGTTTTATCATAGCATTCAGATGGAAGGTGCTTCCAAAAGACATTCACTCCCACTCCAAACTCTTCAGAAATTACATTATGGAACCATAAAGCTGAGGAAAAAAATTTTCAAGTTAGAAGTAAAACCTAAAGAAAAAACAAAATGTCAGTGACATCACAAAATGCATATAACCAATGTAAGAAAGAATTCTTGTAACTAGATCCCTTCATTAGCACACTCAGCAGCTTTTAACAGAATCATTTTAACTTCTATGAATTGCCAAACAATTTCAAGTGTCAATAGCACAACCCTACATTTAAAACTTTTGTAAACAGCATTTTTTTCTTTTTAACCTGAAAGACATAATAAAGCTATATTTGTTTTGTAGTTCTGTGATTTGGGGCTATGTTTGGTTTACATTTCTGAATCACTCAACCACATCAAAAGTATTTACTTTTTGCCCTGGCTGGTGTGGCTCACTGGATTGAATGCCGGCCTGCAAACCAAAGGGTCATGGATTCGATTCCTAGTCAGGACACATGCCTGGGTTGTGGGCCTGGTCCCCAGTTGGGGGCGCGTGAGAGGCAACAGATCTATCGATGTATCTCTCACATATCAATGTTTTCTCTCCCTCTCTCCCTCCCTTGTCCTCTCTCTAAAAATAAATAAAATCTTTTTTTAAAAAGTATTTATTTTTTGTACACAGAACATTTCAATTATTTGAGGAGTGTATTTGACCTTTTCTGACTCAGTACACTACTTTTGTTCTCAAAGACTTCCTGTTCAAGCCGCATCTGCTTTTCTAACTTGCTTAAATTTGCATTTATTGTAGCCGCCTCAGTTTTATATTTCTAATGCAATTATCCTATTTCTTTCACCTCCTTTACTTTACAGTAAGTATATTAAACTAAAGCAAATACAGGGTGGGCAAAAGTAGGTTTACAGTTGCAAGTATGCAAAACAGTTTATTCATGTATTATTATTTATAAATAATTATATTATATTATTTGTATTACAATTGTAAACCTACTTTTGCCCAGCCCTGTATTTTGGTGGGGAAGATGAGTATCCTAATATATATAGCTAATTAACTTTTTATTTCTAATAAAAAGTTTACTTCTTCACTTTCAATTCAGTCTAAACATTTTCAAAATATAGGTGCTACAAGAATACTAACACAATACCACAGTATAACAAAGGTGAAATACTAGTACATCAAAAAGTGTTTTAATTTTGGAAAAAAACTCAAAGTACTGTAGGAAAAGCAGAAGTTTAAAATACTTTGATTTGTAAAAGTAGTTTTCAAACATGGTTTTAATCTTAACCACTCTTTCAGAATCTTTTTATTTTCTTATTCAATGTAACAGGAAAAATGCTAATAACCATTTGGTTCAATTTAAACTCAAAGATGGAGCTTTTGCTTTTATTTCAAAATATATGCAAATATTAAGTATTTCTGGCTTTTTTTTAAGTTGTAGACAAAATAAGCGAAAACTGCATAGCCCTTGAACATGCTCTAAACATCAAAAAATTTAAATAGCAACAGATTTAAAGATCAGTGTGCTGGTTGTTTTCAATGCATATAAGACGACAATGTCTCAAATTTTTATAGGCAAACAATTATGTAAAGAACGTTGTAGCAGGCCCCTTGGGGCACACAAAGATTAACAGAACATGGTTCCTTATCCTCAAGGAATTTATAATCTATCCTCAAATGAGATCAACATATTTTTAGTAATGCTTTTTTATTTAATTCTGTCACTAACAAGAGATATTAATGTTTGTAAATATATGAACTTAAATATGGGAAATAACTATATAATATAGAATTTGTTAATGTAACCATTTAATCTTAATTGTGATTTATATAATTTTCAAGTATTTAGATTACAGATGTTAATTTATTGTATAAAGATGTCTATTTATTATACAAAGAACACTAATTCAAGACTAGAAAAACAATACCAAAGATAGGTGTTGGAGATTATAACATTTTGGTATTTTATAAAATCTCTAATCTGCTTTGGCTTTGAAATATATTTACCATTTTTTGGAAAAAACAGACATAGTTCTAAAAATACATAAATGTCTTGAAATAAAATGATTTAAAATTACATGGTATAATAATCTTTTCCCAGATATAAAGCGTTTTGCTTTATTAAATGACATATAGCAAATTACAGAGGTCTAGAATTCTTACCAGGAATGAATAATACATCTCCAGCTTTAAGGGAACATTCATACCTTCTAGCCTTGGGAAACAGTGGATATTTAGCTAAGTCTGGGTTATCTATGTTCAATACTTCTGATTTAGTACCTGAAAAGTTCCAAAAGAGAATAATATATGTTGATCAAAGTTAGCATTTTTTAAAAAGTAATTACAAATATAAATTTGAAAATTTATTCTTTTCTATACATTTACTGTACCCACACTGTGAAGACAACTATTTTCCTGAAACCTAAGATATTTTTCAATGACCCATCCCTTTTTTATGACCACTGACACCCATGTAATACAATTAAGAAAATGTATAAATCTCATTCTTCCTATAGCCTATCATTACATGTATACACGTACAATGGAGAACACAATACATCTTAATTAGGAAGAAGCCATAAAATATTTTTCTATGAGAATAAAAAGATTTCTTAAAAACAAGTACCAAATAAGCCAGACTTTAAAAAGAAAAACTTAAAAAAAAAAGTACCTGATAAATACAAATACTGGGCATCTCGAGGACTGAACAGCACAACCCGCTTTTTTCCTGTCACTTGTATTAAGAAGTTATCCATTACCTGAAGACCAAAAAGAACTTTCTTAAGTTCTTAATGAACAGTACTTAAAATTTACATAAATAGAACCAGTGGTATTCCAAACAGTTAACTATAAATCCTACCCTTTAACAAGACTTGACTCACATTATCTAAAACTCCTATAGTGATGAAAACATTTGTATTCCAAACACAAATGTTCCTTTATTAAAGATATTTCTGTAGCACTGCCTTTAAATGGAACAGGCTGGCAAGCCATTGGGACTTCGGAAGTCAGAAGTATTTGGCCTTGCCCCACCATTACGACAGCGAGGGTCATTACACCTATTTGAGGCTTCCCGTGTTAGTATACTCGCATATTCCTTACCTGTCAGGGAATGCTACAGGGCCAACATTCAACAACAGATTAAAAGCACTTAGAAAAATTAAGTGTTGGGAAAATACAACGCAGTGCGGCAACTACTGCTCTTTTAATAACTTTCGATATATGACCAACATAATTTGATTATAGGCATCTTGATTTCTAATAGGACTATAACCTTGTAAATTTCCCTGGCATATTAATGGAGCAATCTTGATTCTTCCTGTGTATGCAATAGTGCGCTTTGTAGGTAGAGATTGTGAAAAATGTTAAAAGGCAGAGCTACATTAACTCTCAACTAAGGAACTAAAATAAACACTAAAGAAAATATATTCATGATTATTTACATATCACCTCTACCTAAGGATATCTCCTTTTACCACTAACCCTTTACTAATATAAACCTTATTTATATAAAACTATAAAACGAGCATTCCTTTGACTTATTTTTAAGAAAAGCTTCATAATATTCCATTATAAGTCAATATAAAAGACATACTAAAAAATCACTGGATTCAGTTAAAAATGTATTCGAGTAAGCACATCATTTTCATACCACATACCATTTATGTAAAACTTGTAAAATAAGCTATGATTTTATGTCTATTTCACTTAATTATAGAGTTGCTATGTTAAAATCCTCCCAAGAGGTCCTCAATTGAAACTATAAAACACTCATAAAAATACAGTTGGATTTAGAACTTTTTAAAAAATGCCTTTATCTTTATAAACCTATAAGGTATTGCTTTAACTTCTTAAATTTCTCTACCCAACACCAAACCATACACAATGCTAGATTTTTCTAAGTTTTTAAAATATATGCACATATTTAAGCAAATAAAATAACACCACAGAATAAATGATCAAGATGGATAATCTACACATCTTGCTAGTCAACAAATACAGTAGAAATTTGATGTCCTAAGATCTTCAGATGGCCCCAAATTCTTATAATTTGAAATGGTTCTCCACAAGCTTCTGCCACCTTTCTCCTGAATAATTGTTCCATTTATTCATGTGTACTATTTCAACATCCTCATACCACCACCTTATCACCTTTTCCATTTTCACAACTTTCCCCCTCATCTGGGGCCATTTTTCACAATTAAAAAAAGAAAAAAAAGAAACACTTCATAAAACTGTGTGTATGTACATGTAGTGATGAATGAACAAAACGACAGAGAAATACAAATATGATAAACTAGGCTTTGGCATTAGCTAATAATTCACTCCCATATCACTACCTTGCAGAGCACCTGTTTTCAAATGTCCTGTTTCAGCAAATTACATGTTGAAAATCTTTAGGATACCCTCCAGAGAGCTGAAACTGTGACTGTTAAATCTATAAATGCTAAAGATCTACAGCAGCTTTAGATTTCTCATTTATGTAGCATACATCATAATGGGTCCAAAGTTGTAATCCTGGTGAGCTAATCCGAAAAACACTGGAAAAGAACTGCTCCTCTTTGAAGAATTTTGGAAACTTAATATCTCCTTCCAACAAAGGAAACTGCTTTCTGATATCTGCAACATCCTGCATTGAGAGAAACATAGTAAAATTTTAATAAACACAACACTGGCATAATGTTTATTTCATCTAAGGCTGCCATCAGAGCCCATGTTATAAAGGAGGAATGGAATAAAGCTTTGTTCACGCTGTTAAAATATTAGGATGTGACCAGAGCCAACAAATGAAGAAGTATATACACTGTATTATAAGAGTGTAGATTCAGCAATCTCACCATTGTTAAGTTTAACGTGCTTCATTTATAGTTCTTCCTACTTTATGCAGCATTCATACAGCTGTCATCTAATATTGAGTATTTTCAGTTCAGGAGTCAACAACTTGAATGTTATCAACTATGTAAAGCCTGTAGTTCTATTGCAGGAGGAGAATTAAAAAAGGTAAACAACTAAATGGTGACAAAGGGAAAAAATATTATCGGATGAGATGGGGCACATTCAGGGTGGTGTGGCTGTAGACAAAAATATTATCTTACTTAATCATTTCAGGGACTCCTTAACATTGCAGCCATGTTAATTAGACTCCAAATGCATATCAAAGATTATATAATTAGTTATTCAGAATTTTAAAAATTAAGATTCTATTTTATTAGCTGAATTGCAATCTGTAAAATATATAGTAGAAAGAATTTCTTAATTGTGTAGAGATTACAATGGATGATTTTAAACACTAAGGTTCTATGGTTCTACTTAAAAACTACGTTATCAACTTTTAATAACTGTACTATTCAAGGGCATGAATCATTGAGAAAAGAATAAAAAAGGATAAAACAGGTTACATGACAGGCAGTAAATACAAAAATAATAGTGCCAGTTAAAATGCAGACATTCATTGAGGCTTACTGTTTCACATTCAGAATTCTTACCTTTCTAGGGTCTTCCCCAAGTGATCTTAAGTAGTACTTCTCATCCTTAAACATTCCAAAGAAAAATAACATCAGTGGTCACTTAAAAATATCAGAAAGTAAAGATGTAACGAAATGAGTTTTAAAACTTAACCCAGTGAAGTTGTTTTCGAAAAAGTTCTGTTTTCTTACCCTTTCCACTAATGCTCTCTGGTGGCTGTATGAAGAAATGTCTTTATACGCTGCTTGTAATAACGACTGGATCCACAAAACGTGTAAGTAAAATAAATTCTAAAGGCGATATACGCATACCACATCCAAAGCCACAATACTCAATTTAGACTTTATACTTCAAATTATTTAGATTCTTAATGTCTTAAGATTTAAAAGAATTCCCATTTGTATAACACGTGATCTCAAGGTTTTGTTGAGTGCCAACAACAAACTTCTGTATATAATACAAATGTATCCCCAAACAGGGGATAAATAGAATATACTTTTAATAATTTTTTAAAATCTAGATCATTGTATTTTATCAAGCTAAACCTATCCCTGATTATATACGTTCTCAAGCCAAATCCTTAAGTGTAAGCTCCTGTATGAATTAGAAAGGTTGTCTTATAGTAGTTAAGTTTGATACTTTAAAAAATTATCAGTTTTACTGTGCTGAGTACCTATAATAGGGAACTATTTGAATTATAAAGTATTACTGCTGCCTGCATTTCCTGTAAGAAGAGAACTGAGACATACTGGGTCAAGCACAGGGCAATCCAACACAAGAATTCTGCTGCTTTTATACCTTAACTTCACAAACTTCAAAACGTATGTTATTTACCTTAACATATTATAAATCCATGATCATAAATGTACCACATCAGGTAAATTCTATACATTTATTACTGGCTAAATAGGTTTCAAAATAGGTTCTTCAAAATTCTAAGTTTTCTTCCAGTTATAATGTTTCAAGATTTAAAAAATAAATTCATGTGGCAGATACAGAGATGCACTTCTCAGACCCCCTCTTTAGGAAAGAACTTACTGCTCAGCTGAAAGGAGCGTGATTAACTTACAGCTGCCAGCTGTTAACTCCTTCAGGTTCACTCTTGCCTCTGAACCAAGGTCATGACTGCTGGGGTTGCTCCAACTAGTGACTGAGCAAAATGGTAAAAGGCCTAATTACTACCAAACACAGGACTCCTCTAGCAGGCAGCCTTTGCTCAGGAGTTCCATGATATTTAAACTGAATTATTTAAAGGAGGATTATAATGTAAGTAAGCAAAAATTTTTCTGAATGTTATAGGAAATATAAAAAAAAATCACACTGATAGTAAATAACAATAGTAAAATATAGGAGTAGTTCTCCATTAGCATTTGAACTTGGTAAATCAAACCAAAGCATTTTCAAAGGAAGCAATACTAATAGCTAACATTTAGTGAGTAGTTTCTAGTCAGGCACTGTGCTGCTAATTATTCTATGGATATTATTTAGTTAATTGTCAAAAAACCCTATGAAATGAGTACTGTTATTCATATTTTATAGATGAGTATACTGAGGCACAGAAAAATAATTTGGCCAAGCTTTGAGATCTAATAAATAGCAGAACTAACATATATTGCATACACAGCCAAACCCTAAGAGTGGTTTTCAGAAAAGGATACAGTTCTTGTATGTATATACATACATAAAAATTCTAAGAAATTAATGCTTTCTAAAAAACATGTTAAAACCAATTACCTCTGAAATAAAGAATTCTTTGTGCTTTTCTTCAGCTGCCCTCTGAACCAACTCATCAAAAGGTAAAGTTCTGAAAAAAACACAAAAGAATCCTTGGACTTAATAATAATACTCTATTCACTGTATATTAATACATAGGAGCTTGTTGTTAGATTTGGTCTTCTGTTTTATAGTATCCATCATTTTTATTATAATGTATTATGTGGAATTCTAAATTTTCAAAATTCATTTAGTGTTGTGCCTGTTTGATCTAGGTTGTCTGAAATTTCACTGTCAAAAATTAAAGAATTTTAAATCTATGTACAGATGGATCCTTCTCAAGTGTCAATATCCCCCTATTCCAAGTTACCGTTAGAAAAATGTTTCTACAGTATCTGGTTACCTTTGGAAATACACATTTTTCAAGCGCTTGCTGCTCTCTTTTCAAGTGTCATGGCAAAACATGTACTGTGATTTTGGGGCAAATACCAGGGCTCCTCTGGAAGAGGTGCTAAGCAAAGGGTGGATGAAGAACCAGCACCCCTCGCTGATATCCCTGCCTTCCGGCACCATCACAGAACAAGGAGGCCCGGAGCGCTGCTCCCCTCTGCTGGACCCGCCTGACCCACCCTGTCCCGGTACGGCTTCTGAGGAGCACAAGAGGAGAGTATCAGGGAAGTGGAAAGTGTCAGGTCAAAAGCCTTTCCCCTCCTCCGGCACTGCACTCCAGCCTCCAAACCTGATTAAAAAAGTCATAATCCTTTTACTTTCCACTTGAAATCTGTACTGGGGCAAACCCCTTTCTCCTTCTCTTTAAGATGACGACCTTGGGCTTACTTTCTCCTAGTAATATTTTCCTAGAAACATACTGGATTAAGATAAATGTGGAATGTCAACTGTGATATCACTTAACATTGTTGATTGTAAAAATGGTTCCTTGATTGGCAAGCTGTGTGACTAGAAAACAGGAGGCAGACTATAAATACCTGTTAGGAAGCCAGGGATTTGGCCTCCCTGTGTGCAGAGTAACTCTTGCAACCCCGTACACCCCTTGGAGGAGGAAGCTGGCGTTTACTGGTTTCATGCTACTGCTGTCTAAGCTAGGGTGTTCTTGCACTTACCTCCACAGTCTTGTTCCCTTACAACTAAGCTGTTATAGTTGGTGAAGGAAAAAATGGCTCCCAGACTGGTGTAAGGACACCTACTGACACCACCCTGGTAGAATGCTGTCTTCGGCAAAGCCAAGTGAATCTGGTGCCCGACTACGGACTAGTGGGTCCTGTGAGCATGAGTGTCAATCTGAACTCAAGGACACTGCTGGTAATGTTGAGTGAGCACTACAAGAGACACGAAAGGAGCCTGCCACCTCCTCAGACCAATCTCCTATGATAGTTCCCGGCTAATTAGATCAATGAATTACTTGGCATGCTCCTATTCAATGTTTTCCATCTCTGACTACACCATATACCTTCATTCCCACCAAAGCTTCTTTGAGGACTTTGGGAATAATGTGGAAGCCTCTCTGGCCCAGACCTACCTCTGTAATTGGTGCAGTTGCCTGGGCTTAGCTTTTCCACCAAGGAGAACCCAGAAGTGCTTCAAGACCTTTACAAGAACAGGGCGGACAGAGTGGCTCAGTCCACAAAGGAAGAACAGGGGTGCCCCCACCACCCTTCCCCTTAGACAGAGCATGTTTCCCATGCATGTTTCAAAAAAGGAGCACCTGCTACTGATATCCCATTTGTCTGGACTAGTATACAGACTGGGAAGGGAGGTAGTAACAAAGGGGTTAGGATCGTGGGCTTCTGTGGAGTCAAATTTGGGTGTAAGTCCTGGTTCCATCATTTTGAGCTGTATGATCTTAGGTAAGTTACTTAATGTTTTTAAGCCTCTATTTGCTCATTTGTCTAATTATTATTAAACTAGAGTGGTAATACTGATAAATGTGTGTTGGATTTCTTACTTTCTAGGCTGTCTGTGGCCTAGATGCCTCTCTTCTTTCCTACTCCCCATTAACTGCCAAAAATAACTAAATCTATTTTTCTCTTGCACTAAGTAAATAATCTTGCAGCTCTTCAGTAGCTCTAGTGAAAGGTTTGGAGGAAGCTAGCATAAGAACTATTAAATAATGTATGTGCTTCGAAAACAAGTTTTAGAAAGTTTGTAGGAAAGACAAAACATCAAGACAATTCAAGAGGAAGTTTCAATAACCATTTGCTATGGCATTAGACTTTGTGGAAAATAAATACCGGTAACTGCAGGCTGAAAAACACTTACTATTCCAGCACTTTTTTCCACTTTCTTTATTTAATAAAAAATGAAAAGTTCTTACAACTGAAAAAACTTATGGCAATTAAATTGAATTCATGGCCTATTAAAAACCAAAACTATAATGATGAATATTCAAAGGATCAAAAACTGAGAAATGCTTTGGCAAGCTGCTTTATGAGCTTGGAAAACTAATGAGAAAGGAATGGCCTTGGACATTAGAAGCTCTGTTTAACTCATCTCTAAACTCTGGAAGTAACAGTGAGAGCTAACTCCCTTTGAACATTAGGCTATTGTGAACTACAGTTTTTAATAGATTGAATTTGCTGGGAACTACACATGCTCAGAATGTGAAAGTCACTTGTTTTTTAACTTAACATTTTTAACGAAACTCATGGAAATAAATCGTATATTAAAATTATAAGATTATAGCATTTAAAGCTTTGAAATTTAAACATCCAGCAGCTTTTCACTACATCCTATTTACTTTTAAGAGATCCTAAATCAAAAATGACCACCATGAAGAAAATTAAAAGTATATAAGGTTATTTTGTCAAAAAAGAAAATTAAGTACGAGTTTTTAAGTTATCTGAGTTGATGAAAGATTACACCAAATATAGCAACTACTTGCCCTACATTTCTCAAAAGGGCAGAAAATCAAAACATAGGCTTATGCTTACCTGAAAACAATCTGGATTTAGAAAAATAGGTTATGAAGGAAAGCTTTAGAATTTATTACTCCAGGTAATTATTAATATAGTTAGGATCAATTAATTAATGAAGCCTTGAATAAATACAGCACAGCCAACTTTATATGTAATCTAACTCTAGTTATGATGATTCTCTGTTCCTGCCATGGTTCCAGAAGGTGTCAGGTATACACCCAATGTAAAAAATGGTGTTTGGAAATGTCTTTGTACAATTATGTAAACTCAGAATTCTTGTCTTTTAAAAGCCATTCTTCAAAAATTAGTAAGCTAGCCCATGATTACATCAAACTAACCAAAAGATGAAGTACCATATGGTCTTTGTATAATAATGCAAAAATATTTTAAAGGTTTAAAACAAGTTATTTGTATCCCCAAAGTAAACCACAGAAGAAAATACCTATATACAAAGTTCTTACTAATGAAGTCCATCTGGGCAACTGCAGCAACGTGAATCTTCACTTCTTTCCTCCCTCCAACCTGAGTCAGGTAATCCACTGTCCATTTGCTTGTACATGTCCCCAAATCAATTCCTTCCAACACTATAGGTTTTCTCTGTGAGTAGAAAAAGTACAAAAAAATTTAGGGAAAACCAACAATACATCATAAGTTATATCTGGCAACAGAGTGACAAAAATAAAAAGAAATGATTTTTGATTCCAAGATACCCAAACTCAAGCCTCTTGACAATTCACCCTGTAACTACAATAGGAAGAGGACCCATGCAATATACTTAGAACAAAATTTTAACATTATGAAAACAAAATCAAACAAAACACTGACACCATTAGTAGCTAAAAGAAAATATGAATACTATTTAAAGCATGAGTGTCACTTATGACTAAATGATTAAATTTGTACTTCATAGTCAAATATTTTCTGTAACTTTTTGATATCATTCCAAACTTACAAAAAAGTTACAAGAGCAAGACAAAAATATTCAATATACCTTCTACTCTGATTCGCTATTTAGCTAACTTTTTGCCCTGCTTCCTTTGCCATTGGCTGTCATTCTCACTATATGTGCACAGAAAACATATTATTAAATATAATTTAATATTTTCTGAATGATTTCAGGGTAAGTTGCTGATATCATGCTCCTTTATCTCTAAAAGCTTGAGTATATTTTCTGAGAACAAAGACATTCCCTTGCATATTTTATATGAAAATTATAGTTAACACTGATATACTATTATTTAATCCACAGTCCATATCCAAATTTTGCCAACTGTCATAATGATATCCTTGTAGTTATTTTTACCCTGTTTCTGAGATGCCACATTGCATTTAGTTGCCGTATGTCTCTTACTCTGGAACAGTTCCCCAGCCTTTTCTTCCGTGACCTTGACATTTTTGAAGAGTACAGACCAGTTATTTTGTAGAAGGCCCTTCAGTTTGAGTTCATCTGATATCCCTTCATAATTCAGTTCAGGTCATGCATTTTGGGAAGGAACGTACCACAGAAGCAACGCTGTGTCCTCCGCAGTGCAGCACTCCAGGCGGCACATGATACTCTAACCTATTATTCGTCCTGTTAATTTTCATCAACTGCTAATTTCTCCCTGAGTCAAGTACTTCTATGGGTAAAGCTGCAATTTTTAAAAATTCCATCATCATCTACGTGTTTTAGATGGCAGTTTAATGTCAAAATGAGCTCTAACTTCTCCATTTATTTTTTTCACTGGGTTATAAACTATTGATATAATTTTGATGCTCAAAATTATCCCAGATTTAGCCAGTAGGAGCTCCTTCAAGCTGGCTCTTGTGATTTTCTCTGAGCGCTCCTTTATTTTAAGGCAAAACAGCACTATCCAGCACTTTTTTATACTTTCTCTGTCTCAGCCCTATAGTCATTTCTTCAAGATCTTGTTTCTTTTAGTGGAGAATGCTATTTAGAAACCATAATCAAAGTGTTAGGTGTGTCCATTGCTATTGGGGTAGCATTACTTCTCTGTGGACAGAGCTAGGAAATATACATACATATACACACTATATATATATACATATACCTATGTCTATTTATCTCTCTCTTGCCATATATACTATATAAACACATACACTTAATGTATGAAGCAAGATACCTCAAATACTGATCTTGTATCACAAGAGTCATTCTAATATTTGTTGATATATTTGTAACTCCCCTCTAAAAGTGAGACGCCAGGTTCCTATCATTCTCATGTTTAATCAACTGCACACAGTCTCAGAATTTGCAGTAAGTACTTTCATAATTGCTAAGTCATGCCACTATAAAAAATAAGTCTAACTACAGTTCAGTATTTGCTTAAGTTCTTTTGTCTTTAGACTGAGAATGTTATAATCAAAGTATAATATTCAAAAGTTGAATTGGGTTACTTCTCATTCTCCCTATTACTCAGATTCACTTGTTCTTTTTTAATGTTCCATATTAGAGTTTTGTATTTTAAATCATTCCTTGTCCTTGTAAATTTTATTATTACTTTAGAATGTAGAACATTAATGTGATCCCCAAAGTCAAAGCTATACAAAAAGATCACACCATCCAAATTCTTCCATCTTCTACTCACTCATCCCTATAACCAGTCTCATTAATTACTTGCTTATGGTTCTTGTATGTCATTTTTGCAAAGTAATCAAAAACATATATACTTCCTTATTTCCCCTCTGTTTTTTATACAAGAAGTGGCATACCATGTATTTTCTTTTGGAGCTTGTATTTTTTTCTTAAATTTAAAACTGTAAATCATTGCTTATTTCAGATTATCGCCCTCATTATTTTTTACACTTAGCACACCATAGTATAAATGCAGTTTAATCACTCGCCTATGCATAGGTTTTTAGGTTACTTGGAATAATTTATAAATATAATTAACACTATTTAGATATTTTCATATTGTGGAAGGTGTATCTCCAGAGTAAATTCTTAAGAGTAACTGTAGATCATAAAGTAAACACATACAGTTTTGTTAGATATGGAAATTCCTCTCCATATGGTTGTACCACTTCACATAGTGTGACAGTTTCTTCACAACCTCACCAAGAGTGTATTATTAAAGTCTTTTAATTTTTGCGAAGATGATAGGTAAGAACCAGTATCTTAGTGTAGCTTTCATTTCTCTTAAGAGGCAAAGCTGAACATCTTTTAACAGGTTTAGGAGGCATTTTTATCTTTTTTATTTTTTGTCAACTACTTACTTGTAATCAGATTTTGGTCTTTCCCCACTGAATTTTTGAAAGTTTTTATATACCTGGGCTTTTACTGCCCTTTTATGAAATATATGCTTTGAATAACCACCCCCCCAGTTTGTTTTTGTGTACTTAAATTTTAATCTTTTCTTTCATTACATCTGAATTTTGAGCCACAGTTAGAAAGCTCTACTATTGACCTATATTACAGAAGAATTTACCCATGTTTCCTTCTACTACATGTTTAGTTGTTTTGTTTTTTAGAGCTCTCGTGTATTTGGAGATTCATCTTGTGTATGATGTCAATGTACGTCTAATTTTAGCATTTTTCTAAATGACAACCCAGATGTACCAGCACCATTGATTTAAAAGTTCATCTTTGAGATGGCAGCATAGGTAAACACAGCTTGCCTCCTTGCGCAACCACATCAAAGTTACAACTAAAATATAGAACAGTCATCACTCAGAACCATCAGAAACCAAGTTGAATGGAAGTCTGACAACTATAAAATTAAAGAAACCACATCCATCCAGATTGGTAGGAGGGGCAGAGACACAGAAGGGCTGGTCCCACACCCACTTGTGGTGGATAAAAATGCAGCAGGGGTATCTTGGGAGCAAGGAGTCTTAGTCCCACCCAAGGCCCCCCAGCCCAGGGTTCTGGTGCCAGGAAGATAAGTCCCCAAAACTTCTGGCTGCAAAACAGCAGGGACTGAGCTGGTGGAAGAAACTTCGAGAGTCCCAAGCAGTTCCCCTAAAAACCTTCATACAAACGTATTCAGACTCACTCCCTCTGAGCTCCAGCACCAGGGTAGCAGCTTGAAAGGGACCAGTGGCACACAGGGAGGAAGTGAATCATCTGGCATCAAGGCAGGAGCTGGGGATCAGCTTTCCCCCAGACAGAAAAGTGACCAAAGATCATCGTCCCTTTTCTGAGCCCTCCTCCAACAGAGCCACAGAACTACAAACCCACAGCAGGCAGATGCCATATCTGAGACTCTATCAACCTGGCTAACTCTGTTTGCCCTGCCTAAAGATACCCTGAGACTCCATCCCACCCAACTTATGAGCCCACACAAATTGTTAACCGTGACTTTTTCATATGAATGGCTAGTCTTAGCTCATGCTTCACAACTTCCTAAATCCTCTTAAACAACCAACAGCAGGCCTCACAGCGCCCCTAGCCCCTGTACCTCTTGCTAAGTGGCCCAAGGTCTGGTACTAGTGGCAGCCAGCCTAGATTCACAGCTTGGCTTTGCCTGGAAATCTCCAAGCCCAGCATAAGTAGCAGCCATCTCAGACTGCTTTATAGCTCAGGCAGGGTGGCCCTGGGCAAAACACAGGTGGGGGATGACCTTGCCCTGCACCACCCAGGAAACCCCAGAGCCTGTGCACCCAGTGGACAGCTGACAGACCATGTCAGAGAATTAACACTCTGCCCCTGCACAGCTGATCCTCCATAGAGGGCAGTGATTGGTAGTCAGTGGTCACAGCCAATCCTTGCAGCTGACTAGCCAGGGTAAACCTCCCATGACCTGCCAACAGCCATCAAGGCTCAACTGCTAGAGGAAGGAGTACTCAGTCCACACGAAGAGTACACTTTGAATATCCAGCTTGCGTTATAAGGGAGGATGTGCCACTGTACCCTATAGGATGCCTACTATATTAGGGCATACTACCAAGACAGGGAGTCAGTCATAGATAGCAGTAATACCTAATACATAGAAACAAACACAGGGAGGCTGCCAAAATGAGGAGACGAGGAAACGTGGCCCAAATGAAAGAATAGATCAAAAGTCTAGAAAAAGAACTAAATGAAATGGAGATACGCAATCTGTCAGATACAGAGCTCAAAACAATGCTTATAAGGAGGCTAAAAGAATTTAGTGAAGACTTCGAGAGCATAAAAAAGATCCCATCAGAAACAATATAAAGAACAATATACAGGGAAACAACAGGATAAAGCCAAGAATCAAATCAATGATTTGGAACATAAGGAAGCAATAAACAACCAATCAGAACAACAAGTAGAAAAAAGAAACCAAAAAAATGAGGATAGTGTAAGCAGCCTCTGGGACAACTTAAAGTGTTCCAATATTTACATCATAGGGTGCTGGAAGGAGAGGAACAAGAGTAAGAAAGTGGAAATCTATTTGAAAGAATAATGAAAGAAAAATTCCCTAATTTGGTGAAGGAAATGGACATGCAAGTCCAGAAAGGAGAGGAAAGTCCCAATCAAGATGGACGCAAAGAGGCCCACTCCAAATTAAACCACATAATAATGAAAATGCCATAGGTTAAAGATAAAGAGAGAATCTTAAAAGCAGCAAGAAAAAGAAGTTAGTTACCTCCTGGGGAGTTCCCTTAAGTCTGTCAGCTGACTTCTCAAAAAAAACTTTGCAGGCTAGAAGGGAATGGCATAAATATTCAGAGTCATGAAAAGCAGGGACCTACAGCCAAGATTGCTCTACCCAGCAAAGTATCATGCAGAATCGAAGGGCAGATGGACAAGAAAAAAGCTAAAGGAGTTCATCACCACCAATTATTATATGAAATGTTAAAGGGACTTATTTAAGAAAAAGATCAAAGCTATGAACAATAAAATGGCAATAAATACATATCTATCAACAACTGAATCTAAAAAAACTAAGCAAACAATAAAGGAGACAGAATCATGGATACGGAGAGCATTTTGATGGGTGCCAAATGGCACTGCAGTGTAGAGGAATGGGTGAAGAGGAGAGGGGATTAAAAAGTACAAGTAGGTAGTTACAGAATAGCCATGGAGATATAAAGTACAGTCTAGGAAATGGAGTAGCCAAAGAGCTTATACGCAGGATGCAGGGACATGAACAATGGTGTGGGGATGGCCTGAGGGAGTGCGGAGTGCTGGATGGAGTGGGAAAAAGGGGAAAAAATGGGACAACTATAACAGCATACTCAATAAAATATAATTTTAAAAAACAAAATAGAAAAATAAAGGTTCATGTTTGCCCCAGTGATTTTTAAAGTGTCCAGTTCATCACATACTAAATTTCCAGAGGAATGAAAACTGAATGAAAATTTATTTCTGGAGGGGGGGGGTTGTGTGTGTGTGTGTGTGTATCCAGAAGAGAGAGATATATATATATATCACCAGACTTTCTATTCTATTCGTTTGGTTTGTCTATTCATGTACCTGCACCACACTATTATTAGTTTAAAAATCTGATAAGGCTATGCCACCTCACAGCTTTAGTGTTTCCAAGCAGAAAGATCTTGTTTTGCAATTTTTTATTCATTTCCAGTTTTGTTACATTGTCACCAGAGTGTTATTAGTAATTTTCTACTTTATGAAACTTAGTGATGCTTTCTTTATGACATTACATGTCTTGTCTTGGAAGATTAAATTACAAAATACCTTTTGATGCATATTTTACATAGCACTTTCACATACATTTGATCTTCACAATACTGCACTGAGGCATCTTAACACTAACACATCATGAGGTGGCAGGATGTGGCAGACAACAACCCATCCAGCACTAGTCCCCCAAATAAATGAGGGTTTGAATCCTCTGTAGGTTGCTAACTCCTAAAAGAAAAAAAAACAAAAAACAAAAAACAACTTGATCTTAACTTTCATAGCACTGAGAACTTTGGCTCTGTGACCACGCTTACAGATGTAAATTTAAGTAAAATTACTGGATGTATTTTCTACCATAAGCACAGTAACTACAGTTTTAGGGATTTCTTTTCTTTCAATATCTGCTGGACTCTTTACTCTCAGTTTTTCAGATGCTTGGACTCCTTTACAAAGCACTGCATATAAAAATACGTTTTCCCGTTAATAGTTTTTTCCTAGTTTTCTTTTAAAGAACTAAGGTTAGAATTACATATATAAGAAACTCCAATGTCTGAACTAAAACCCAGATTAGTTCGAATCCAAGCCTAAGACCACTGTTAGTTTCCCGGGGGGATTCCCATTGCTTCCCTTTGGCTCAGTACAGTGAAAAATTACTCCTTTAAATCTAGTAACTCGAGCGGACTGACGGGTACTATTCGCTCCCACAGGAAAACCTCGAAACGCAACAGGAAGGTGGGTGGGGGTAGTGGAGGTAGAGAAGGTAGAGAAATCTCCCTTCATTGCCAAGGTAACGGCAGAAAGCTGCATAATAAAACTCCTGCAAAGCGGCTCTTCGTAATGAGCAGTGCTTATTAAGCAAAATGTTTCTGGCACTTAGCTCTCCGCCATCATCCGTCTCCCCCAAAACGTGGAGCTTTTCCCTCCGGAAAACAATGAATCAGCAGTTGTCATTCACGTGCACCTTCTCCCCTGGCTGCAAAGCTAACCAGCAATCTTCAGTTGCCTTCTCCACACACCCTGGGTCGCAAGAAGTGAGTTCGGAGCCACCCGAGTGGTAGGGCCTGGTATCCCTGGCTTCCCGCGGTGCGGCCCAGGGCCACTGCCTCACCTGCGGATAGAGGTGCTGCATGAAGTGCTCCCGCGAAACACCCCCGAGACGGAGTACTTGGAAGTGCTGTCCGGCCATGGTTGCTCAGTGCGTACTCTCTCAAGTCCCGGGAACCTACGCTGCAAAACATTGTCCTCCTATATCCGATCCGCCCGGAAACACGACTTGGAGAGAAAAGGGCCGCGAGGCTACTCAACTCTCGAGAGTGGCGGGTTTCAAGCATGGGGCTCAGGGGCTGACTCTGCTGATTGTGTTGCGGGAGAAGTGGGGATGGGGCGGACTCACCAGAAGTGGCAGAAACAGGCCAGCTTTACTCTCCAGGCTCTTTCTCCGAACCCTGCTGAGGTGGTGGTTTCCCACCGACTTTCTTTCCATACTGCACAAGCAAGCACAGGGGTGAAAGGTCATAAAAATGGCGCTGGCCGCCCGTTTTTTACCCCGCTTGCTTTTCTCCGGGCCTCTGCCCGGCAGAGCCGCCAGAACTCGGTACCCCGGTGCAACCGAGGTGAGGCCGTCGTTGGTTGGGCTTTGCTGCTTCTGCCGCCACCACCTCGGTTCGAGATCGGCTCCTTTTCCTCCAGTCACTTGGGTCTCGGTGGTGGCCTCGGCACTACCTGCTCGGGACCCTTGGCGTCCCCCGCTCAGCCCTCCGGGACTGGCCGCAGCCTTCCCCGCTTTCCCGGTCTGCCCTCGGCGCAGCTACAGCACTGAAGAACAGCCCCAGCAGCGCCAAAAAACCAAGATGTTCATCCTGGGCTTCTCCAACCCCATCAACTGGATTCGGACTCGAATTTACGCCTTCCTTATCTGGGCCTATTTCGACAAAGAGTTCAGCATCACAGAATTCTCAGAGGGAGCGAAGCAGGTTTGTTTATTTCCCTGGAGTTGACCTGTACACCTCTCATGCATTCAACTATCACACATAAAAACTGTTTAGCAGTGAGGTGTCCTCACTGGGTCCCAGATGATCATATGTGGGTAGTAATCTGGGTACAGAGCCTTCTGGCCACTTTTTGACTTTAAGCATCTGCTTCTGTTTGCATGTCACCAAGGTTCTTCTTGTCTATGGAAACACCAAGGTGAAGTCCCCAAATTACCTTTTCTACTCTACAGGTTTAGAATTAGATAGAAATGGATTCAAAGCCATTTTCTGCCACTTAAAAGTCACGTGGCTTTTCTTTTATGAACGTGATCTCTTGCAAAATAAAAAGACAATGGCACATTTTAGGTACTCCATAAATATTTGATGAGTAAATGAGTGAGTGGATAAGACTGTTTTGAAGAGTAAATGACATAACATTTCTAAAGTGCATAATGTCATTTTGGGTAGAAAATCAGAACTTCCTGCTAGCTATTGCCAGAGCTCCTTTGCTCCTTACTCCTCTTACCCTCACTCCCACCTGTCCCCGTCATAGTCCTAAGGAATAACCTAGAGATGAGGAGTGTTCCCCTTTCAAAGAGTTTGCTGAGACAATCTGGTCACTGATCAGTGCACAGCACCCTGAACACTTGAGAAATAAGCTTTGGGTGATTCATTGCCCTGATGCCCCTCTTTCTGAGTGGCTGGTAATATTCCTTATTCTTGCCAACATGTAGGTCACTTTGGTTCCTGAGATTTGCAGATTTTGTGTATACATGCATTTTTCTAGGATGAAAGTCCACCTATAACTTCCTTTTGATTCTTTTAGAGAGTTTGTCATTCCCACTTTTGAACTATTGATAAACAATAGAAGTCAGAGTTTATTTCGCCATTCATACCACCATGTACCTTAAAATCATACCATCAGTGTAATCATTTTACAGTTGATTGTATAATGGTATTGATATATTTACTCCTAATTTCAGATTATTTCTATAAACATATCCATTTATATTATGTGACCTGTCAGTTATAAATTAAATGTTGTAATCAGTGTCAATATAAACTCCTTCCTTCCCCGAGTCAAATCTTGACTGATTTATATGTTTATTTAAAAATTAAAAAGCAAAGAGGACTCGATTAATAGCATTGTAAGGGGTAAACCTCTGCTTATGTCAGTCTCAAGATCTTTTGTCGATGCAGAGATAAATTTGCATGATCCTGCCATTCTTCGCAATGCCCACTGATGATGTGTGAACTTGTCTACCTCATGACACATATGACTGAGCTCATTTATGTGTTAATAAGGAATGGAAATCATCTCCCTACCATAGGTAGGAGTCAGGCTTTAGTCTCTATTTCCTTTGACCCGCAGAAGCATGGGATACTTGTTAGTCACTCTGATCTTAGAAGCCCTCCACCTGTTAGCTATTTTAGCCTCCCCCACTTTGCTATTAAGTAGCATCTCCACCCTTTCATCAGCCAGTCTGTATGCAGTTTTGTCTCAGTCAATTTTTGTGTATTTAGCTATTCTGGTATCCAAAATGGATGTTGGGTCATCCATGGCAAATGTTTGGCCGTTTCTTTAAATTAGTAGTTACCTAACCTATCTTTCAGATCAAACAAATTAGTTCTTCAACACCTAAGATTTAAAAAGACATGGCAAAAAAATCTTCTCCTTACTAGAGCCCATAACGCAGCTGTACCTTCCTTCGCATGAGTATGATTCAAGGGCTTGGGAATAATCTGGTCTGGTGCAAAAACATTACTGTATCTGCTCTCACGGGCTCCACTTTTCCTTCGGCTAACCTCCCAGCAGTAAGATGGTACCTTGGATTGGGAATATCAAGTTATCGATTAGATCAAGAGTTTACGATTTTTCTTTTTTTAATCATGGGACAACATGAAAATGAAAAGACACTTATGGGCTTATCACTCTTGTCTAATCCTCCTTTACAGATGAGAAAATCAAGGTCTAGAAAAGTACAATGATTGGCTCAAGGATGCATAGCCAGCGACTGCTCAGGGGCAGTCTTCTGTGACCCGCTCTACAAGCAGTCTTGGTCACTCACAGTCACTAAAATTGAGATGGTTAAGTACAATCTAGGCAAGCATTTGATTCATCACCTGAGCCAGGAGAGTGGGCGATCCAGTACTATAAATGGTTTATTAGCTCCACAGACCGTGCTCTCCTTTAATATGTATATATGACATGATATCTTCCCTATTTTACTGCCATCAGAGCACATTAATCACATTTTAGCTGTTTCTTTGAAAAAGAGGGCTATTTCTTAGAAACCTCTAGATTACGTACTTTTTACCAGGCCACTTTACAACAGTTCTGACACTCCCCAGTTCATGCGGACACCAACCCAAGTCCCAGCCTCCCATACTTTTGAACTACCAGCAAAAACTCGGGGATTTCCACATCCCCCAATAATTTGCTAGAATGGCTTACAGAACTCAGGAAAGCACTTTACATGCTACTGCCAGTTTATATGAAAGGAACAGCCTAACGTGCGCATGACAAGATATGTGGGAAGGGGAGTGGAGTTTCCATGCCCCCTCCAGGTGTACCGCTCGTCCCACCTCTCCGAGGGTCACCCACCTGGAAGCTCTCCTGACCTTTCCTTTAGAGTTTTTATAGAGGTTCTATTATGTAGGCATGACTGATTAAATCATTGGCCATTGGTGATTAACTCAACCCCAGCACTATGTTCTCCCTGAAAGTCTGGAGGTGAGGCTGAAAGTTCCAAATCTCTAACCACAGTCAGCCCCCATCTTCCAATAGTCACCTCATTAGTCTAAACTCAGGAATGGTGGAAAGAGGTTTCTTTTAGGAGCTCTGTACCAGGAACCAGCATGAAGACCCAATATATATCCCAGTATCATGCCATTGATATGTGCATATTGATAAATCTCCTGTACTATGGGCCCTTAAACTGTATTAGTCAGTTACTCTTTGTTTTCCTCTATTTCACTTGCACATTTCAGCTTTTGCTATGAAAAAGGGGGCTATTCCCCAGAAGCCTCTCTAGGTTGGACACTCCTATATCATCAAAGCCTCCCTCATCAGGGCAGCCTCCAAGTGGTTTATTACTATTGTGTAGGATAATTTGCTCAGGTATAATCTTTCTTGGCCACACAAACTAGAGTCTAATGGTTGAGCTTCAATATAATGGTTATGGTCTTTGATTCTTTTTTCCAATGTATTAACCATTTTGTACACATGAAGGTTTGCTAAAATACATAGGGTCTCTGAACCCTGAGTGCCCTTAAAGTGTTTGTAAGGGGTCCTTGAATCCATTTGGACTTGCGCGTTTTCTCAAAATTCAGCTTCATTGTTCTAGCTTGTTATGGCTGCCATAACAAAATACCACAGACTGGGTTGCTTAAACCACAGAAGTTTATTTTCTCACAGTGCTGGAGGCTCGAAGTCCAAGATCAAGGGGTTGGCAGGTTTGGTTTCTTCTGAGGCCTTTTGCTTACAGACAGCCGCCTTCTTTATGTGTACTCACATGGCTTTCCCTCTGTGCACATGTGTCCCCTGGTGTCTCCTTGTGTGTCCAAATTTCCCCTTTTAAGAACACCAGTTGGATTGGAGTAGGGCTCATCCTCATTTACTTAGCCATCTCTTTAAAGGCCCTATCTCCAAATATAATCATCTTTTGAAGTACTGGCATTTCAACATAGGAATCTGGGGAGAACACAATTCAGCCCATGATGATTATGCAGTGTGGGCTGTGCATGCTCTTCCTCCTGCCGGTTCTTCAGATTTCACCTGACATGTCGCTTCCTTTAGCAAGTCCTCTGGTTCTCCCAGGTTGGCTGACACACAGAGCTCTTCTGCATGCTCCCACATCATGTGTTCTTACCACGTCATCATTCTTGAACTTGTCGATTTACTTGCTGCCTCTCCTTACTTGAAGACAGGTCAGGTCTTATGCACAGTTTCATTTCTTACTGCGAGGAATGTGGAGGACAGCAGTTGGTGCCCCTCGCTTTTAGATGGGACCGCATACTTCACAGTTGAAACCCACTCCAGTAGTTTGTGTGAACTCGTTATCTTTTCTACCACTTTCCCAAACCTGCTTTATGTAGCTTAATGGTTCAAACTATACTATTTTGAAAGGAAATATATAGGAGGATTTTTATTCAGGTCCTACTGTATATACCATGCATTAGCAGTCTGCCTACTTCCTATTGTATTTGTAGGAAGACCATATGAGAAAAGGAAAGAACCAACTAGAAGGATTTGTGCCTAACGTTGATATCTTAGTGCCTGACACTGTTTATCACCTTTATTTTAAAGTAATCTTTGTTATACTTAGCTATTTAAGTTTGAGAATTGTACAGTGTATGGAATTTTGCATGGTGTTTTGAAATAATAATCACCACCATCCCTCCATTAATTTTTTTTTTTAAGGCTTTTGCTCATGTGTCCAAGTTGCTGTCACAGTGTAAATTTGATTTGTTGGAAGAACTTGTGGCCAAAGAGGTAAAATATACATTTAATTTTCCTTTAAAAATAAATGTATTACTCCCTTGAAATCAAATGATGTACAGTACGTTATTCTTATATATGCTTAAAAACAGCATGTGTGCCATCAGGCTAAGTAGAGTCCATTTGTCATTCCTTTTGGATACTTTGGGTTATATAAAAGCATAGAATGACTTGCTACTAAGGCATAAGTAAGTAAATATGATGTCCCTCAGTTCTTATATAGACTGCTCTGTTAGAAATTACCTAGGTTAATAACTAGATGCTTTTCAGCCTTGCTGTTGAAGCTGAGTAAATATGGTAATAAATTTTAAAATAGGATTAGGAAAATTCATTTCATGAACAATTTATTGAACTTCTTGAAAAGCTTTGGAAAACTCAAGAGGTAAATTACAGTCTGCTTTTTTCCAAACTTAGGTGCTGCATGTATTGAAAGAAAAGGTGACTTCTCTGCCTGACAACCATAAAAGTGCCCTTGCTGCTGACATAGATGAAATTGTGTACACATCAGCCGGAGACATCTCCATCTACTATGATGAGAAAGGTAATGCTGGGGCATGGGCAACTGTAAATGGTCCGTAGTTGTACAGATAAGCTAAGCTACTGGGAAGTCATGAAGTAGTGGGGGTTTGTTGGTACAAGTGGACATTTATGAGACCTCAGAGAAAATAATATATTCATTCTTGGAAGACCTAGCTCTGAAAGAGTTCAGATATAGTAATAGTTTCTTAGTCCTTTCTGTCCGGAACTTTTCCATACTACTCTTTAATTCACAGGAAAGAGCATCGTCACTTAAGTTGGTGAAAAGAGTCTGTCTAGGACAAGCTCCTTCCCTGTCTCCAACTAAAAATATTTGCATTTCAGATTTCCTGACTTGAAACCAATGAGTATTTTACATGTCCAGCTGTATGTTAAATAGGAGGAGTAGGGAGTGAGAGAAAAAGTAAATAATAGCAGCTAGAGAAAAAGTAAATAACAGCAGCTAAAGACTTTTGAAAGTAAGATTAACTGTAGAACTCCCAAGCTGGATTTACTTGGAGACAATGAAAAAAGTTGAAAGGAACTTCAGTGGTTACCTGGTTCATCTTCTTGTCCAATGAATATATTTTCCCTACAGCATTTCTGAAAATTTATTGATTTTATTTATTCCTGCTACAAATATTTGCATAGGTATTATGTGCCAGGCAGGTAGGAAATCTAGCCTTTGCTTATGCAGGGCATTGTGATTTGAAACAGTTGTAAAATTTGAAACATTTGTAAAAGTACTTGTACATACTTTTCCTAAATATTTTTTCTCCCCTAACATTTCAACTTGCACCTTAGTACCCTAGTCACTGCCTGATTTTTCCACAAGACATTATCATAACCACCAGGCATAGCAAAGTGAATTAGGGTGGAATAGAAGTCTTTCTTCTTTCTGGCAGTTGGGGTTAAGTTAATTATTTAACAGCAAGAAATGTCTTTCCCCCTTTATTTTTTGTTTGACAACATATATCTGTTCTAATTTTAGAAAATGCCACAAATTGAAAATAATCTGTGTGGTACACTTAGAAAATAATGAATAGTAACTATTATTATTGTGATTCAGAGAAGAGGGCAAATATTTCATTTACTCTAAGAGAATTTTCTGAAAATAAAAAGGTAACAGTAGGTACCTTAAGTTAGACTAGAATAAGCATAGAATTTGATCTGTAATGACTGTGGAAGTCCTGCCAATTTCTATTTCACTTTGGATATATAAATGATAGATTATTGTGATTCGTATTTGTGTGTATTTGTATGTTTTTTTCCTAAGGAAGGAAGTTTGTTAACATCCTGATGTGCTTTTGGTATCTAACCAGTGCCAACATCCCCAGTGAAACTTTAAGTGGAGCCAATGTGTTCCAGGTTAAGTTGGGGGATCAGAACGTGGAAACTAAACAGCTACTGAGTGCAAGCTATGAGTAAGTCTGATCACGTTTCCTTTCTCTAGAAAATGGAAGGTAGTATGAAAGTGTGAAAACTAAAGGGAGATTTAGGAAGAAAGGATTGAAATTGGACAAGTTATTTATGAAGAGAAAAAGTCATAATGACATACTGGCCATGAAGCAGGAGTGTTCAGAAATTAGAAGGAGGTAATATTTCTGAATGTAATTAAACAGTGTTTCAGCTGTCCGTTGCTGCATTACAAACCACTCCAAAGCTCAGTAGCTTTAAACAGCCCATTTATTCTGCCTGCTATTTTACTGCTCAGGGATCTTAGGAAGGCTGAGCTCTGGGGTTTTCTCTGCTTCATCTGGCATCAACCCGGGTAACAGGCTGGAGGATTCATTTCCGCAGTGGCTCCTTCACTGAGGCGTGGGTCACCTTGGTGCTCCTCGGATGCTCCGCACAGCGTCCTATTCCACAAGGCCTTTCTTCATGGCTTGGGTTTGTGGTAGTCTCGGGCTAGTCACGTATTTTATGGTAATTGGCATCCACAGAAGATGCAGGACTGGCAAAAGGGCTCTGCCCAGGGCTGGAACAACATCGTTTCTGCCATAGTTCATTTGTCAAAGCAGTCAGAGGACTTGACAGGTAAAAGGGCCTGGAGAGACTCAACCTCTTTATGAGGCAACAGCAAGGCCACATTACAGAAGAGCTCTTTGGAGGGGATATATGGTTGTAGCCCTTGTTGGAAAATAAGATCTGCCATAATTGGCACATGGACTATCCACTCCCTAGACATTTATTGACCATCTCCTGTTTATGATGTACTCTAGGAGGGGTTCAGATACAAAAACCAAAGGGCTCCTGCCCTTAAGGAGTACTGTCTAGTAGGAGGTTAGCAAATTATTTAAAAGAGACACTATTTTGAGATAATATTTATAATTAAAGAACACTGTAATCAATACTGACCTTTGGGTCCTCTGATACTCCCTGCTAAGACCATGGGCAGCTCATTAACTGTTATGTTCAAGATTGATCTAATGTATATAAACCAGATGATACTAAAGTGCTGCTTTTATCACTGTAGTCCAGTTTATTTCTCCTACTATTAGACATATGTTATAGCTAGTATTTAATGGCAGAATAACATCCCAGTTTCTTGCAGGATTAGCAGATGTGGGAGATCCGTCCCTTAAAAATACTTGTTTTAGTTAAGAATGTGTAATACTTCTGATTTTGTGGGGATATTTTTTGTGAAACATTTTTTTATTTTGATTTTGCTTTACCGTTGACCATTAGTTTATTGCCAACAACTGCCTCTGATGTACACTTGCAAGTTATCTAAGGAGTGTTTGGACTGATGTAGGATTCACATTATTTGAATTTTTTTTTCCCTAGATTTCACAGGGAATTTACACAAGGAGTAAAGCCTGACTGGACTATTTCACGGATTGATCACTCAAAATTATTAGAATAATCTTTCTCGGAAAAATTGGCTTATTGGACTTTTAGCAATTACTGTGAGAAACTAAAGAAGAAAAATTTGGGATCAGTTGATCTTCACTTAGTCAAGTTTGTGGATTACTTTTGTATTATTATACTCCTTGTAGTATATTGGCATGATACAATAAAGGGTTTTTCACATATTGTTGTCACCTTCTATAAAAGAGGTCAAAATAAACTACAACAGCCCATTGTTGTTGTCATAGTCACTATCATTTCTAATGTTACATATATGTGTGTGTATATATATATACACACACACTAATTTTGTAAATAATAAATGAGGTATTGAAAACCTATACATTTCTAAATTAATAGTCCTTAAATATTTTATTTGCAGTTGATACATTTAAACCAATAACTCAAGTATGTATGAGGTTTTATATTTTTAATTTTATTTATTAATTTTTAGGGAGGGAGAGAGAGAGAAATCTCAATTTGTTGTTCCACTTATTGATGCATTCATTGGTTTCTTCTTGTATGTGCTCTGATAGAGATAGAACCCCCAACATTGGTATATGGCGATAATGCTTTAACCAAATGAGCTACCCAGCCAGGGCAAGATTATTTTTAAAAATCAGTGCTGCCCTGGCTTGGTGGCTCAGATGATTGGAGTGTCGTCCTGTATACCACAAAGTTACAAGTTCGATTCCTCATCAGGGCACTTTACCTAGGTTGCAGGGTTGATCCCTGGTTGGGGCACATTGGGAAGGCAACCAATCAATGTTTTTCTTTCTCTCTCAGAGCAATAAAAACATATACTTGGGTGAAGATTTAAAAAAGAATAGTGTTGCTATTTGATTACCTCTGGTCACTAGAGATGAGAAGGAGGAATGGATAGAATTATAGCAGACTGGTCATTGCACAGTGAATTTGAAGCTTTCTAAAGCACAAAGAGGAAAAAATAGTCCATCAGCTTCCTGTGAGATAAGAGCAGTCTTCTAACATACTTGTGTTTAGAGTCCTAGAAGTTGGGATAGGAGAGAGAAAAACAATGTAAGAAATGTCAGACTTTTAAAAAATTGTTCAAAACTATAAGCCCACGTATCCAAGAAATTCAACAGATTAACACAAATAAAACCTCACTGAGTACATCATAAAATGTTAAAAACCAGAGGAGATTGTAAAAGTAGCTGGAAAACAAAAATTATTTTATACAGAGAATAACTGCATTTTTCTCTCAAACTGCAAGTGAGAGACCTTGGCATGCTACCTTTAAAATGCTGAAAGAAAATTACCTATTGACCAGCAATTCTATATTCAGCAAAAATATCCTTCAGAAAAGATGAGAAAAGTCTTTCAGGCAAAGAAAATATGAATTTGTTGACAGTAGATCTGTTTTGAGAGAACTGTTAAGGACCAATGGGCAGAATAGATTCAGAAATGGAGCCATACAGATTAGGCAATTGATTATTACTTGAAGGAACTGGCTCACAAGATTGTGGAGGCTGATATACCCAAAATCTGCAGAATAGGCCAGCTGGTTAGAGACCCAGGAAAGAGTTGATGCTGCAGTTGTCTGAAGCAAGTCTGCTGGCAGCATTCCTCCTGGGGGAATTAGTCTTTTTCCGTTAAGACCTTAAGAACTGAGTCAAAAAGTTCCCAACAAACAAAAGCCCTGGACTGGATGGCTTCACAGGTGAAGTTTACCAAACATTCCAGAAGAACTAACACCTCTCAAACTATTTCATTAAATTCAAGAGGAGGAAAACCTCCCAAACTCATTTTATGAGGCCAGCATCATCCTAATTCCAAAACCAGCCAAAGACACTAGAGAGAAAGAATATTATAGGCCAATATCCCTAATGAACATAGATGCTAAAATCCTCAACAAAATATTAGCAAACCAAATGCAGCAATGCATCAAAAAGATCATATACCATGATCAAATGGGATTTACTCCAGGAATGCAAGGTTGATACAACATTCACAAATCAATAAATGTGATTCACCACATAAAAAAGATAAAAACCACATGATCATATCTATAGATGCAAAAAGAAGCATTTGATAAAATCCAGCACCCATTTATGATAAAAAGCATCATGGGAATAAGAGGGAGCATAGCTAAACATAACTGTGTAGGCACATATGATCATCCAAATGTTGGCATTGTACTCAATGGGCAAAAACTACAAACATTCCTTTTAAGATTGGGAATAAGTGAGGTCCCCTTTCACCTCTCTTATTCAACATAGTCCTGGAAGACCTGGGCATAACAATCAGACAAGAAGAAGAAATAAAAGGCATCCAAGTTGGAAAGGAAGATGTAAAGCTGTCTGTATTTGCAGGTGACATGATACTGTACATAGAGAACTCCAAAGATTCCACCAAGAAACTACTATAATTGATAAATCAGCAAAGTAGCAGGATACAAAATTAATATCCAGAGATTAGCTGCATTTTTATATGTCAATAACAAGAAATTAAGAAAACAATTCCACTCATAATTGCTTAAAAAAGAATAAAATACCTAGGAATAAACCTAACCAGGGATGTAAAAGACCTGTACTGGGAGAATGATAAGACATTGAAGAAATAAAGAAGATACAAATAAGTGGAACCACATACTGTGTTCATGGACAGGAAAAAATTAACATTGTTAAAATGTCCATACTACTTAAAACAACCTATAGATTCAATGCAATTCTTATCAAGATTCCAATGACGTATTTCACAGAACTAGAACAAATATTTCAAAAATTTATATGGAACCACAAAAGGTCCCACATAGCAACAGCGATCCTGAGAAAGAACAAAGTTGGAGGAATCACTCTACCTAATATTAAACTATACTATAAGGCCATAGTGATCAAAACAGCATGGTACTGGCATAAAAACACATAGATCATTGGAATAGAATAGAGAGCCCAGAAGTAAACCCATACCTTTATAGTCAATTAAATTCAACAGAGGAAGCAAGCACATACAAAGGGCAAGTTTATTCAATAAATGGTGTTGGAAAAATTGGACAGACACATGTGGAAAAAGTGAAAATAGACCACCTTCTTACACCACACACAAGAGTAAAATTGATTAAAGACTTACATGTTAGACCTGAAACCATAAAAATTGTAGAAGAAAGCATAGGCAGCCAAATCTTGGACATTGCTTGTAGCAGTATTTTATTGGATGTGTATTCCCAGGCAAGGGAAACAAAAAATAAACAAAATTGGACTACATCAAACTAAAAAGTTTTTGCACAGCAACGGAAACTATCAACAGAATAAGACAACCCACAAAATAAACATATTCACTGATATATCTGATAAGGAGTTAACATCCAGAATTTATAAAGAACTTCAAAACTCAACACCAAAAAAAAACAACCCAATTTAAAAATGGGCAAAGGACCTGAATAGACATTTCTCCAAAGGGGACATACAGATGGCCAATAGATATATGAAAAGATGCTCAATGCTACTAATCATGCAAGAAATGCAAATTAAAGCCACAATGAGATACCACCTCACACCTGTCAGAATGGCTATCATCAATAAATCAACAAACAGCAAGTGCTGGGAAAGATGTGGAGAATAGTGCCTTTGCACTATTGGTAGGAATGCAGATTTGTGCAGCCACTGTGGAAAGCAGTATGGAGATACTTTCAAAAATTAAAAAAGGATCTGCCTTTGACCCAGCAATCCCACTTCTGGGAACATATCCAAAGGAACCCAAAGCACTAATTCAAAAAATGTAAGCACCCCTATGTTCATTGCAGCATTACTGACAATCACCAAGATACGGAAGCAGCCTGAGTGTCGTTGGTAGATGAATGGATAAAACAACTTTGGAACATTTATACAATGTAATACACTCAGCTGTAAAAAAAGAAAATTTTGTGCTTTGCAACAGTATGGCCTGGACATGGAGAACATTATGCTAAGTGAAATAAGCCAGTCAGAGAAAGACAAATACCATACAATTTCACTCATTTGTGGAAAATAATGAACAAACTAACAAGGGAAATGGGGACAGACTTAGAAGGAGAGCAGGATGACAGCTGGTTGGGGGGAGGTTAAGGGGTGGAGGGATCGAGCAAAAAGAGAAAAGGACTCACGGACAACAGTGTGGTGAGTTCTGGGGGAAGGAGGATATAAGGGGACTAAATGGTAATGGGAAAAAAATACAATAAAGATTAAATTTAAAGAAAAAGACCTTCAACTGATTGAATGAGGTCCACCCATATGATGGAGGGTAATCTGCTTTACTCAAAGTCTGCTGAGTAAAGGTCAGCCTCATCTAAAAAGTTTCACAGAAACATCTAAAGTAATGTTTGACCAAATATCTGAGTACCCTGACCTAGTCAAGTCCACAGGTAAAATTAACTACCACAGGTGTGACACACAACTACATACTCTCCCCTTAGATTCACCAAAAGTTAACATTTTGCCATATTGTTGCATCTCTACATACACACAAGCACACACAGACTAGTCTGATACCAGATTCTTGTGTGGGGTGAGGAGGGGTTTCCCCCTAATGTCAAGCAATTCTGGGACACTGCCTGACTGTCCTACGATTCGACTCAATTCCGGCACTATCTGAAGACAGCATCGTATTCATTGGTTAAAAGTTTGGCCCTACAAGCTTCCCCCCTCCCTTCAGATGCCAATCACAAGCCCAGGCCATCACCTGGGCTTCTAACAACTGGCTGTAGATGGGAGGTTGCAATGACCTCTCTCCTCGGGTTCCGTTAATTTGCTAGAGCAACTCATAGAACTCAGAAACATTCTGTTTTATCCGTTTATATAAAAGGCTATAATTCAGGAACAGCCAGGTGGAATGGATGCATCGAGCAAAGTATGTGGGGAGGGGTGTGGAGCTTCCACGCTCTGAGTGCGCTGCACCCCACATCTGCAAATGTGCACCGACCTGGAAGCTCTCTGAACCTCACCCTTTCAGGGTTTTAAGGAAGAGTCATGACATAGGTGGTTGATTTCATTATTGTCTGTTGGCTGTTGACTTAACCATCAGCCCTACTCTCCTCCCCAGAAGTCAGGGAGATGGGACTGAAAGTCCCAACCCCCTAACGACATGGTTAGCTCAGGCAACTAGCTCCACACCCTTAGGTGCTTTTCAAAGTCACCTTATGAATATAAACTCGGGTGTGGTTGAAAGGGTTGTTATGGATATAAAGATGTATTTATTGCTCTTATCACTTGGGACATTCCAAGGGCTTTAGGAGTTCTGTGCCAGGAATGGGGATAAAGACCACATGCATATTACGAACCACAATATCATATACATGGT